GTACCTAAGGGAGACATTCCCATGTAATTGTGCACAAAGCTATCCTGACTTTAATGACTCCTAACCCTAGCTTAAACTTTACCTATCCTCACCAAACTTTGTGAATTTGGGTTTTGCTTCACGAGGAAGCGATTTAGGCTATTTGAGACATTAAATTATGCGTAGAAATAGCACTTTAAACATTAGTGAGACATTCAAATGTCTGCCTAGTTTATCTTGTCTCTTGTCTCCTAGTCTATCTTGTCTCCTATAAGGTACAACTTTTTAGGAAAACGTGTCTCCCTAAGGGTCATTTACACCAATACATTTAACTGTTTAAGGTATTCTTTGAGTATAAGAGTCCCAAATTCCATCTTTCTTGTCTGACTGCATTTCTTTCTGAAAGAAATTCTGAAATTGAACAAAAACAGTTGCTACGTAATTTTATCATTTTATGAGTTTGTGAAAAACAAGTGCACTGTCAATTCACTGTAAAGTCAATAGGGAATTCCCCAATAACAGCTACGTTCTTTAATCTTTAATATGTTGAAGCCCCCCCTGTAGAGACAATCTGTTTGATTGATATGATCTATTTTAAAAAGTAACCACTTGCCACCTCCTCATAGCCTTAAAACTTGCTGAAAGTGACGTTTTAAAGACTACAGAATAACGCAAACAGTTGACATTCTGGCGACCCAGCGTGTGATACGTCGACCCATAGCAGGTCAGTACATAGCCGTATGCGCTCATCCACCCATCACCCTTTGATCTTTAAAACAAAATCTTGATCCTCCTGAAAGTGAGAATGCCACTGCGATGCCAACCTGCCCCTCCGCTGTGAAATCTTCGGTCTTTTCTTGAAGGGGGTAAAGTGGCAGGGCCGGAAGTGTCACGTCCGTCAGTCCTGAGAGAGGGTGTCGGAACGAGGTGGAAAGTGTCGGGGCAGAGTGTGTCAGCAACAAAAAAAGTGGGGATGTGAAGCACGCGACATCTGTCCGGAAACTGGGTCATTATTGGCCTGATTGCCCAACGTAGGACGTCTGTAGATAGTTGATTGCATGTTCTTTTAGTTCCTTAACAAAAATGTTGATTATGTTGACGATTATATCAGCGACAAGAGTAACATAGTCGTGTCTGAAGGAAGTGGTAAAATTCAGTGACATTTCACTAAGCGTTAATTATGTCCATCAAAATCCATGTTGTTCACACTCATGCTGCATATTTGAATGTTTTCCCCTAGAAAACTCTGTTGACTTGTGATGTTTAACGAAAATTCTCCCTTTGGTGAATGTGTTCAATCGCATCATGAAACTGTCCGATAATTCTCTGTGGAGCAATATAGTTGCTTTGACGGGTGTTTTGTTTGCCGGGGACATTGATCTGTTTTGATGCCCTAAATGTGATATGGAAAAGCCAATGTTGAATTTGTGGGTCGTTTTTTTCACGTACTGTTTCTACTATTGTACCAATTTGATTGATTTTCAAGACGAACGTCAGATCGACCGTCTGCGTCACTTTTCGGCGAAAAGCATTTGCTCAAATCGTGTTTATATTTAAGGTTGTATTGTTGATCATCATATCAAAATATGAACAGAATATGTAAAGAATTGTCGAACATTGATATTTTTTAAAGATTTGTAGAAAACACATTAATGATACTGGCAGAGAAATATCCTGAGGTGACAACTACGAATGGGTTTGTAAAGTGTTAATGATATATGATGTTCCCAGATGTCTTGAGAAATGAATTGATGATATTTTAAGATCGTATAATGGATTAGTAGTTGTATTGAGAAGCTGTGCACATTATAATGCCAAACACCTCTTGTTTTCTCTCTTAAAAATTTCACAACTTGACACTTCGAACTTTCACAATTCGGTCCTTTGATGTCCTATTAAGGTATAGGTTTGTGAATAATACCTTTAAAATGCAGCCCCAAGCTTAAGCTTAATTTATTAAAGGACGAAACAGTACCCACGCCCCATTTAATTTCTTGTAGAACGAATATCGCTTCAAAGGGCCCATGTATTGCAATTTTTTAATGCAATCCTTGAAAAATACGCCTTTGTGTCCTATTTAACCTAATGCAAATTTACATATTCATGAGCAAAAGTATGATGTCATTTTAGGCAGAAACCTCATTTTTACAGCTATTTCAGCACCGAAAATTGCCAGAATTTGGGATATTTTGCTGTCATAAATTTCCTTTTCTTTGGCGATTCGTTGTTGAGTCAATACATGGCAGTAAGCCAATGAGCAAACTTTTCTCACAAATGTTTTCAATATAAGCAAATTTTTGGATTCACAATTTGAACAGAAAATCCCGAAACTGAACACTGTCTTCCTGAAATGACATCACAGCAACAGCGCCCTCTGTTGTCCGGAAAAGCTTGGGCAATTTTAAACGTTTAAAGAAGTGCACTTTTGAATAAAATTAATCAAAAAGGGATGCTAAATAGTTTTCGTATATTAAAAAGCAGTAGAAAGTTGCACAAAATATGTTCCTCAGAAAAATTCATGTCATGGACCCTTTAATATTATGTCACAAAGAGTGTTACCATCGCGGACACCGCTTCGTACCACAGGATATGGTGTCAGAATCCATCGTCTAGAGGGTGATATGAGAATACCTAATGACTCAGATGATATCTAATACATATCTTCTATAGTTTGGCCCCCCGTGGGGGAAACCTACAAATCATGTGAAATATTCATCGTGGCACACTGGTACCTCGTGCTGTATTCCCCCGGGCCCTTTGCCTATCACAGCGGATATCACGGCCCGGTGTTTTACAAAATTCCCAGCTTATATTACCACACTTGAGATCTTGAATCAACATAATATTTCAGTCGAGTTGTATAAATGTTTTTACGTCACACACACCCCTTATCTTTGAGTCAGGACTGTCGAACATCAGGACTATCGATTACTCAATTCCGATGCATTCGATATAGGATCGGAATTTCCGGTTTGAAATAATTTCACCATTGGAAATTTCTAAATTCTACAAGAGTCATCATGCACAGAAAAGATAAAGTATCAAGTTGTTTTAAATTTCCAGTCCCCGACTTGTGTACACAATTTGATTTCTTTTACTAGTAGCAATGTGATTCAGTGTTTATGTCAAAATTCAAGTACATGGTCACGAATTATTGATATCTTGATCAATTATCACACAAATGATCATAAAAGTACGAAGTATTAAGAAGTTGGTCGAAACTAAACGAAAAGTAAAAACACTCTTTATTTGTTTTCTAACTCGCCTTTGGTTCATTAAACATGGAAGAATCGAGTTAACCTCTGAACTCGGCTGGAATCTAGCTGATCATACCTTGAATCAATCTCGATGCTGATCTTAGTACACACTTCATTAATTAATATGCTAAAATATTTGCACTGTGTGGTGGCGACAGTGAGACTAAACCACCGACTCGACATCCGGTTCGCTATCTGAACACGTTTTTCGCATGAGCGAGGTTTTTGGCGGGCTTTTTCTTCGGTTCTCATTATGTTTTTTTAGCGACCAGCCTTGGCCTGCGTGGCTGATTCAACACCGTCATCACGACTACGGCTTGCATTGGGACATGGTCACCACCGTCACGTAAATAATATGCAGACTTTTGAAGTGAAAATGGAACGAGACAATCATAGTTGGACAAAAAAGTATTGAGGGTCTTAGGCGGGCTATTATCTTGTGGTATATGGTGGTGGTGGTGTCTCATCGAAAAGTTTTCGAAACTTTGGCTTCATGTGCGGTTCGGCTCCAAGCCATTTTAGAGCCCTGACTATAGGGAGTTTGGTTCAATATATAGTCTCTACGTTGATTCAGAAACACCAAATTGTTCACTTGCTGAATTTGTTTTGGATAAATTAAGGATTTTATATGATCATCGAGCGACCCCAGAGACGAAATCTATGGTCCATAAACCATTCCCATTGTACATCGCATATGCAAGCAGCAATTGATTCAACGCCTAGCATTTTAGTGAATAAAATGTTCAGATTGTACATGAGACAGAACAGCAAAAAAACTTAGCACCGAGCAACATATCATAATACTGCATTGCATTTTATTTTAAACAATTCGCATTGAGACTGCGCTGAAGGCCAGTAGTATCCACTGCGGAGGAGGCCAGGGATGAAAGATCACGTGATCTCATTACTTTAAAAAAAAAAAACCAAGATAACACTAATGCCCATCCTCGCATTTCCGCAGCAAAGCGACTGACATGATTTACAAAATGTCATGATGCACGTTTAATGTCATAGGTATGGTTATCATTGAAATATGGTCTGCGCAGGACAGGCGATATTGATATGGGTAGCTTTCTGTCGCATAAGGTCTGGCTGCAGGCTGATCATAAATCTCATCCAGTGTGCACATAATGTAATACACTGGTGTCAATTAAAGGCAAGTTGGTTTGTGGTTAACAGTTCGGATAGATTTCACGTGGGTTATGAGGAATACAAACTCTGTTGAATGTCCAGTTCTTTTTACTTCTTATGGATTTTAGCCCAACAACCTTGCAATCAGGTAGTTAAGCTTAATTGTTTTGCTTGTGTAAAAAGAGAGAAGAAATGAAATACAATAACACAACCAAACAGATTAGAGAAATACGATGGTCGTTATATACTTTGAATAAAACGGTCAGTTTTGTGGCGTCAGAGTCATTTTAAAGCGCTGTGCGTTGAAAGCAGATTTCTCGAAACTGGTTAATACCTACAGGAAGTATGTTTTCACTGACTACAAAGTAAATGTTTTCAAATCAGATTTGAGTGGAGTCTACATCCGCCGGAGACGGTCGAAAGTTCCCACGTGATGACGTTAGGTACTTGACCTAATTGCACTAAAATAGTCTCTGAATGCAGACTGGAGATTAATTTCGAATGATTAATTAGTATATACTGTTCATTATGCGGGCCGGCGGATTACACTTAGTACTTACACCGTATGCTGTTGCTTGCTATTTAAACCGGTTGAATGAGTAGGTTCAGTTTCATTCTGTTACCGAGACTTAATCGAGCGATCAAGCAGCAGTTTCAGCATGCAGTAGCTACTAACACATGTAAGTTCTGTATCGTTTGTAATTGCATGTACATGTATCTCAAAGGTTTTGTACACAATGTTGTTAGATGTTTTTGTAAAACATTTCTCTCTGGGCCCATGTCGCATCTGTATTTGTGTGTGCATGCTTAATGGCTGTACAAGATTATCATTTTGTCAAATGGTTGACATTACATTCGTAGTGTTTCATAGGTTATATTATAAATTCAAATGTATTAAGCGATGTACATGCATATTTTCATGAGACTTCACATTGGGAATCGAAGTCCCAAGCACGGTGCAAGACAGTTTTGGCGTATAAGCACATTGACTGACTAAATTCGAAAACATTGTACATAAACAAATCCACACACTAAGCTTAAGATAAAGTAACCATATACCTTGAAGACATCACAATCTTTTGAGCTCATGTGTGAAGATGAAAATCAATGAAATTTGGAACGACATACAGTTGTGAATTCTCTTAAACCTTCATTTGAAATATCAGTCTCTCAACTTTTATGTCTTATACCTAATATGTACACAATTATGCCATTGTGATGTCATCCTTTATTTTCGGTTGATAACGTAACATCGAAACTGACTTTCCACTTTGACGTACTTTGAAGACAGTTTCGAAGAGTTATCACTCCTATTTCTCTCGAAAAAAACTGTCTTCATCCTCAGGTTATTCAAGAAGCACAAACCATCACACTGCTGTTGTTCGAATGGTTGAAATATAGTCCAGGCAAATGAACGTAATTAGCACCAACTGCATTGTAATTTAAACCCGCTGTCGGGTTCAATGCAGCAAAGAAGGTCATTACTGATGATTCATGACGTGCAGTTAATAATGACATCCATATGGTGATATTTTGCGTGCAATTATACGTACTTTTCCTTCTGGTTATTCAGATGTACGTTACCTTGTGAAAAGAATTTTTGTGAACTACTTTAAATTGTTTGCGTGTTGTATATTGTATAGGGCACTTTGGGCTGGGAAAAACACTGTGAGACAAAGATTGTTTGCACTGTAGACATCTTGGAGGTATGTGCTTCTGTTCATCAGGGAGTAGTCTTGCATTTTATCCTCCGTATAGTACAGCCGGTCCGTGGCAAGCGAGGTCGCTGTCAACAAGATGAATCAAATCCAGTCTGAGCAATATTGGCAGCGCTATCCAGGACATTTCGAGCACACCTCACGCGTGCTGTATTAAAGGTAATGCATGCGCGTGAAGTGTGCACGGAATTTCCTGGGTAGCGCTGCCAATAATTGCTAAGACTGGGTTTGATTCAACTTAACCGCGTTGTCACGGGACCGGCTGCAAAATAGGATCTAAACAAAAACAGATCCAGTCTTGTACCGAGACTTATCAAGGACACGCATGAATAGACCTCTGTGCATTCGTTCTTTATGAATTAACACAAAACATACCCCCAAGATGGCTGCCGAATGCAACCAATCTATTTGGTTTGTCCGCCCGATGGCCATTTAAATCGCATGTTCTGATGGAAATAACTGCTAGATGAAACATCGTCACGCAGGATGCTTCACCCTGGGTAACGGCTCTGCTGTCGTAAAGCCATATTTACTTGCAAATTAGTGTTCTTCAGTGTTTCCCATCAAGTATATATGTGCGTTTACAATCACAATGTCTCGGACGTCATTCTGTGCACCAGGCAATATTCCAATCGAGGATCTGATTAAGCGAGGCAGACGACGACATACACGGGTCTACAAATACAAACTAATTGACAAAGTGCACTTCCCTCTCCCACGTCCAGAATAACAAATACAAACCATTCAGAACGACATCCGCAAACAAGAGAATGTTGGCTTGTCCTTCATTTCCGTTCATGTGTAGACGGAACCGAGCAGAAATAGGACTATTGAGGGTTTTAAAGGTGTAGTGACGACTAGAAATAATTTGCAAATGAAGCAACCTAGAAAATGTCCCTAACAGTCCCGAATCCTCTAATTTTAATATAATATTATTCACACACACCAGGGAATTGGGCTTAAAAATTGATAATGACACATAAATAAAATATAAATAGAATAGAATAAAATGAAATAAAATACAATAAAGACGTCATTGCATGATACGATGGAATTGTTGTAAAACTTAATTGTAATGTAGTTAATGATTTATTGGCTTTATGAAATTTAAGGCGAGTTCGCACCCTGACGGGAAACACAGTGCTTGTATTCTTGGGCAAGACACTTTACTACAATTGCCTCTCTCCACCCAGGAGTATAAATGGGTACCTGTGAAGGTAGAGACCAGAATACGCTGATCTTGAGCTGCTGCAAAGAATGGTCTCATGGCCTGATGAACAGGGGTAATAATTGTGAAGCGCTTTGAGACCTTTGGTATAAGGTACTATACAGTGTATAAGCACCGCATTATTGTAATTTGTGTATTAATTGTATATATTATATATGTCATATTAGCATATATTTCAATTAAGTTTTTGTCTTTTGAGCTTTTTTTTTTAGGTCCAAGTCTATGCAAAGCAAACATAAAATATTGAGTTTAAGTTATATGTTTAACTGTAATGATTTTTGTCATACGATTTTGTCGAAGGTGATATCTCTCCTGTGATATCCGAATCCGTGCTTGACACAAACCATTTGATTTATATAAACTTTTCTGTTTATTTCCAATATTATACAACTGATTTGGAAATGTGTGTCGTCCACATTGGCGTAGCAATTAAGCTAATAACAAAAAGCTGAGTTTCTCTTTGGAGAGAAAAATGGCAAACCCCTTTAGTGGACATTCTTAAATCCAACCGTCTCATGAGTATCTCGCAAAAAGGTGCAAGTACCTTGTGTCAATACTTACCATGTGTTTGCTATTTCCAGTGTACAACTGATTATGAAAATGTGGTCAACAATGCCGTACCAATTAAGTAATAACAAAAAGCTGAGGTTTTCTCGAGAAAGAAAATGGCAAAACCCGTTAATGGACAACCAACCGTGCTAGTTTCTTACAAAAGTGCACACACGCCTTGTGTCAATACTTAACGAGTTGTTTTGGATTCGTCCACGAAGTAATAATAGTGATTGAATGTATGAGGTCCAAGTAATGACATCCAAATGGTTCTCAATAAGACGAAAAAGTACTCGACCGGAAGGTTCTTAAAAAAAAAAAGGACATGGTCGTGCCCCTTCGATTCTCTTCACGGGAGGCTCAGTGGCCTGTACAGTCTTCTTGTTTGTTATCTTTGGTTGGGAGAGTCGTAAGGATCCATGATGAACGGCTATCAATAACAGTGTGTAGTTTGACGGCGCGTGTCCTGAAGCACCAGACTAACTGCTGTTTCAGTGCAAACTGGTTGCTGTAAGTCTGCCTTCGAAAGATTGTCGTGGTTCATAATCGTTGAACTTTTTTCCATAGATGTACTTTCCGTGCACTTAGTGAATTTGATTTGTTCTTCTTCGGAGGAATTTTCATTTCATGTTTTTCGTCTAGTATTTTCTTCAGTATTGTCGGGCCGGAAATAATTCCAAATTTTGAAAGTTATTATTCCATAACTCGACATAAGTGAATTAGGCCCTACTTTTGAATAGTCTTGGGATCAGATATTAACGTGTGCAGAGCCACACGAGCGAACGTCTGATATATCCTAGCATGCAAATTGTATGTGACCCCGCGCCAGCCAATCGGAGCCGACTTTAGAGACTAGTGACGTCATTTCGAATTGCTAGAAAAAAAATGGAAAATGGAACAGACAGAGTTAAAAACATTTCCCTGCTAAACAGCGACCGATACTTCAGTGTCCCCTTGAAAGATGTTCCATATCTTTGGCCAATTCCCTCTTTTGTGTACGTCTTTATTTCGTCGTTAGATTTTGCCAAGATGTCGCAATAAAAGTAGCGTATCATTATGACATCATTTAGCTGCGCTTATATTATCGCAAGAGGGCGCTTTGCAATCGACAAGGGACTACATTTACACGCATCGGTTTACAAAGAAATTGAAGCGAAGGAGCATGTATCGAATCTTCATTATATTTGATGAAAGGATTTCTCGAAATAAAATACTAGACCGGGCAATGTACTTGTTCTCCTGCACACTGATTGTCAAAACATCTATCTCGAAGTCCATTCCGTATCCCATTAATGTACATGATTACTGTTTTCCTGTAATCAACTGCATGTAACATCCTCCTTCAGTGCATCTTAAGACTAGTTCGAACTCAAATGTGATCATGTGTTTACACTAATTCCAAAAACCTCCTGTTTGTTTTTCTCTTCTCAGAACTTGAATCGGATGGACTTCCAATGCATCTAGATGATCTGGCAACAATTCTCACTCCTCGTCTACTGAAGGGACCGCCTTCACATGCACAGCCGACACTGCATGCAGAATCGTCCGGGGAGCAGCTCGCAACACCTACACACTCTCGGTCAGCCAAGCCCTCCCTCATGTAAAGGAGTTGAGTGGCACAAGTCGAGACGCTTGTATGAGGAAGCCAGCCCGTGTTTTCTCGCTTGCCGAAGCCACGCTGGAACCCTAAACTGATTCTGAAGTACAGGATATCTCGCAAGATCTGGCCATAATTTCTGCGATAAAGCGATCGGATCAGTGGCTGCCGACTCTGGAGGAGTTTCTAGAGTGAGTGGCTTGGAGTGCATTATCGTATCTGCATTTTTTGGTTTGACGTATCGAACTTCTTCGACAATTCGAGCGTGGCAGCCATGGGGATTATAGCCATACTGGATATGCTCTGCTGCTGCTGCGAGGGCTGGCGGAGGAAACTGAAAAACTCCGAGTCCACCACGGCTATTATTCAGTCCCCTGTCAAATCCCCTGCCAGATCCCCCGCCAAACACCATCACAAACGGTCAGCCAGTACTCCTTCCGAGCGAGCCTTCCATTTCTTGGTGACGAATCCCGTAGGACGGACGGAGCTGAGACACGTTCAGCCGGGTAAGCTTCATTTTATACTTGGCCGTTCTTGAATTTTGTAAACTGTTTCGTCACATGCGTCTCTTGTCAACATTTTCCGTTGTTTTTACTGTTTGTCAGTATGAGCATTATGTTTCCCGTTTGTTATTTTTGTCTTCCTCATCGACTTTGTACATGGTGTCTGTCTGTCTGTCTAGTAATTTATCACCCTGCCATGTTATTTTGTCTGTAAATTCTCATTTTCGTTGACTTCTTTTATTTTGGTCTCAGTAGATTATCGAACTATTTTTACAATTCCTTGTGATTTTGAATTCAGTTTTTGCTTATCTCTCATTAACCATGGCTGTCTTCGAGGGCCTTGCTTAAATAAAGGAAACCACTCCAGTGATACATTTGATATCTGCTAAAAGAATATAGGTAAAGGAAAAACCAAGACCATTAATTGAAATTAATATTTCAGGCTCTCGGGTAAAGGTCATTTGAACAATGATGACGTAGGTATGAGCGCAACAATACCATCAATACGTTCTTTGTCATCCAACCATGAGCTTACAACATTGCCATCAATGTAAATACGCAGCTAGGTACACACTTTAGGTAAAGGACCACAGCGTGATTTATGAAATTGAATAATGGAGAATAAAAAACATCGGAGATTCTGGGGAAAGAGATTTCTTGTAGGCCGTTTATGAAAACAACAATTATCCGCCACGACTTCATCTAAGCACCCAATCAATACTTTACATCCTGTTCCCATTGCAGTATTATACAAACATATGAGAATATATATTCTTCAAAAAATACTTCCCCTTTTATGGGCGGCTGGAAATCTGGGGCCCTTGACAATAGCTCACGATCAATAGTGCAGTAATATAAACAAAACACAGGGCCCCAGATAATTGTTACAAAATCGATCTGAATGTATGCTGCCTTTAATGCCGGCGCATGCAGTTTCCAGACGAATCCCATGAGAAAATTTCAGGAAAAAATATCTATCTTTAAAGCCACGTTTTTGGAAACGTTGTAGGCATACATAACGAAGAAAGAATTTGCTTTTTACATATTGTTTTGATAGCATTTCGGACCTGTTTGTTTTTCATATTTTTTTGCATATTTCTTCCCTTGTTAATCTGTACATGTTTTCGTCCAAGTTCGCAAGGACGGGTAGCCTCAGATTGGGCCTTCGATTACAACGTGATACCGGGGTGCATGTTCAAATTCGCAATTGGGACACGGGACCTAACTGGGACGTGAATCCTAAAGATATAAGTGTGCGGTTTGTTGCTCTGTCTTCATATACCATGAGTGATTGTTTTCCTTTTTGTGTCCAACAAAAACAGACGCAGTGTTTTCACGAAGTGTTTTGAACCTTTTTTCTTCTTCTACTAAATGTTCTTCGCAGTAATACCATGTACATTTACATTCCATTTAAATCGTGAAAGTCATTTAAAGCTGAAATTATGTCAAATTCGCTCTTCTCCTCTGAAAAGATTTGAGGTCTTTCTCGTCCACAGAATTTATTTGTTCATTCAGCTGTTGCTAATAAATCTTAATTGCATTCCCCCACCTGAATACATGGCCTTGATTAAGACATACACATTATTTAAATTCTATCCACATGTTGAATTTCGATTTCGTTTATTCAATTACTACCAAGTTTGCTTTGTGGGAATATGATGGAGCATCCCAATTCTCTTCGAGACTTCTGCTCGAGTCAAAACAACATTTCACAATATCAAACTAGCCCGTATGGAATACAGATCGTACAAACCTAAACCAAAGAACATTATAAAAAAAAACATGAAAATGTGCGCCAGTTATTTCCACCTGTAAGCCGATGGGCTTTCTTCGTTCTCTCTTTGGGCATTAGAATTACCCTGGAGGATATTGTAGTTTTATCAAAGAATTGTCCTCGCTACGACATCAAGGCAAATGAAATACTCCTGCGGTCATTAAACGCTACAAGCTTGGCAAAAGAGACAAATTAAAATCTACCCACGCGCAGCATACACCATCTTCAGAATGATCTATCGCATTTTTGTCATCATATACCTATCGTCAGCTTTCACTCCGCGCAAGAAACCCTGCACCCCCCCCCCCCGTGGCAACGCCCGTAAACCGTCAGCGCCCATTTCACCGAATGACAAGATAAATTCGTCCCCACTATTTTCCCCCGATATAGATGCGTTGCTCGTCTAGCCTTTAAAATACCGCTGGCGGACAGACGACCGTTGAATACGGTTCACAGGACAGCCTTATTGATTATCGTCATAAAACGACCGCGCTGCTACGCTACTTGATATAAAAACACGCGGGCATTTATCATGCGGATTTCCCTGCGCAAAGAGGCCCTCTTGACTACGGGTAGGACTACATGCCCTACAAGGCAACTTCAGATATGTTTAGTTGAATGATAGGTGGATCGAGTGAGTCTCGACTACACAAAATTCCTGATTCCCTGATTGTGTTTGGGTGTAGAACGTGCCAATAAGTTAAAGGTAATATACAACATTTGCAAACATCAAGAAACAAAACTACCAAATTATTATGAAATACCTTACTTGACTGTAAATGAATAATATTCTCAAGCATCCTGTGAAATTCAAGAACAGTAAAACTTTTGTATCAATTTCCAACGATGGTCTGCTCGTTGGAAAAAAACCTGATTTTTTTAATACTGCCCCCAATTTACCAAATTTAGACCACATTGAAATCAGTGAACGAGAGCAAGTTGGCTATTTGGTTCCCTGACTTGACAATTCCCGACGTCTATAAATTGCTTCGTTTCGTCTGAAGTGGGTCAGGGAACCAGACTACAAGAACAACATTTTTTTCTTTTTTGTCTGTCCAGCATCTACGAAGTGAACACAAAACTTTAAACAGGTCAGTGTAACACTATTTGCTATAAAATACTTACTCCTAATCCGAAAATTACAGCAAAAAGAAATGTTGTATGTTACGTTCATGGTGTTTGATTGAATCTGTGGACACAAAAAATAATAAAGCTGGACCCAATTTCTTGGCTCTTCTTACCGTTTGCGAAAAATCCCTGCTTACTATTGCAGAAAATTCAGTGCTTCGGTAAGCGTATTTCACAGATTAACGAGGAATTTTGTCTTCTGCCCATGCGTGCATCTCGTAAGTACGGATTTTGTACTTTGAGGGTTGACACAGAATTGTTATGCTGGCGCGGTTAGCACAAAATGGTGATCGTAAGCGCGGAATTCTGTGGTAAGCATCAGAGACGTGAAATTGAGCCCTGGTGTTATTTGGTAGATCCAATTTGTAAAATACCCCACGAGAGCTTTTCAAATGGTACAATGATCCTTAAATCCACAGAAAGTATGCACCATTTAGAACAAACAAGCTTCTGCCTCCCTTAAGTATCAATGATGTTCAGAAGGAAATCAATCCTAAGACTGAGCTGGTACGATCGGGTAACGATATTTATTTAAGACATTCGTCAGCCCTCACTTTCGGAATAAACATCGAGTCGGAATAGACGTCACTGAGATTGTTCCCGTCTGGCAAAACATTGCAGTATGCAAGCACAGTGGAGCTCTTTAAAGCGAAACTCGTGCTGAAATAAGAACGCATTCAATAGAAGTGCAACATGCAATCTTAACACGATTTCCTTGGCAAGAAAAACATGTACTGCTGACATTTCCATACCAAATATGCATCTCCTTTCCACTCGTACTGCAAGGATCCGACATGACTATAATATATCCCCTCACTCGATACGGGGAACCTAATACCTAGTTGGGCACTTATGGGACCGTTTACGAATCCTAAAGTGATCGGCGGTTGCGCAAAATAGTATTCATCGGATGCTGATCGATTTTAGACAGGACGCCGCAGATGTGTAAACAAACGGCTGTTTTATGAGGTTAGTCGACTGCTGGAGAACGATTACATTTGCGTCCGTGTTGTGGATGTTGTCTTCAAAGTAAAACTAAAAAATGAATGAGTGCACGAAACCAAGCTTCCTCATGCACAAATGTACATCCTTCGTTATTTTTTCCACAAACCTTGCGAGCGACCAATATTAATTCAGGGGATATCTCATTATGTTAGAAGCATTGTGTCGGACATTGTTCAAGAAAATTGTCTATTTTTAACTCCTGAGCGCTTCTCGCTGGTCCTGCACGACATCCTTCATTCAGTCATTAAAATCGAATACTTGACGATTACCAGTGAAGTGCCACCCGTGGCGGCCGAGTGTTGCAGACCGGTACATTGACTCCCATAGACCTCAGTGATAATTACGCGTACTTCCAAATATTATTTAAAATATTCACAACTCTCCATGGTGTTTGAGACACCCATCAAATTAAAGCTTATTTCATCGTCTTTCATTTTCTGTTCAGTTTTGGGGTGGTTATTGCATGACGTTTGGGAGAAAATTCCATCCAATGATGATCACCCCTAAAAGTAGTCATGTGGCCAATCGCCATTTTGAAAAATTATGCCTGCGCTCTATTGAAAAATAGAACAACTTTTGGGCCCAGTTTCATCCAAATTTCACAGTAGTACGAGCTTGCACTCCCGTGCATGTCTTCCACCCATCTTTTTCACAAACCTTCAAGTCCATGGTCCACAAAATGCTCTAATAGCAAATAAATTGAGGGCACATACAAATTGTGATGTGGCCCGCGTAGGCAATTCTGGGCCTATTTACAGGTCCGCACCCGGAGATCGTTCTTACTTGTACCACTGGAGGGCGGTGTTGCGATTTGCCTGTCAGCAAGATTTTCCGTTTTCCTTTGCAGAAAAACACTCTAAATATCATCCAATCTCGTTATACAAAAACAGGCTCGAACTCTATAGGCTCCCGGCATAATGTGTAATCGTTTGTGAAGTGAACGACCGTGCGAGCAAATTTGTCTACCGATAATGTTAATGTCTCGGGTACCTGATCGCGTTTCGCCGCATTCGATACAAATGTAATCACGTGGAACTTGGCTTCATGAAATAGGCGCCTGTTACCTGCCTCGATTATGCCGTGCCAAGGAAAATCTTGAAATGTAGGAATGCATAAAGGCGGGTCTAAGCAGAGAGGAAGAAACGCGGCCGGTCATATTACTGCGCCTATTTTTTTTCGGCAGGTGTCGGGAGTATTCACATGCGCACTGAAACAACAACAAGGTTTTTTATTCTCTCGGTCCGTCAGCCGTGTAAATAGATGAAAACCCCGCATGTAAACGCGCGAAAACAACCTCATTAAAGTGGCTCGATGGCGGAGAATATATTTATGCCCGGTACTTAGCCATCGGATACCAATGGCTTTAAGTTGGTATATACGTTTTTTTCTTTTTCAAATTTTCGATGTTCTTTTCCTAACGAAATTTAAAGGAATATAATGTCCTGTAACAAGTGAATTTGCTTGTGTGTTTTTGCAGGCTTTTATACATTCTAAAAAATTGGTTTTAAATGGCGCGCTCCAGTTCAGAAATTGCGCACACTATTCAGAACGAATTAGGAGCGTCCCGCTCTTAATACAAAAATGAAATTAATTAATTGATCAGTACTTGTAGTGAGCCAAATGTTTTTCGGGCGAGTCTCATTGGAAAGCTCATAACTAATGTATTGCTAGACAATCATCAATTCAATTTGAAAATCTGTTTTTCAAGGTGCAACACCCCCCCCCTAAAAAAACCACGTATACACCTACTTTAACCTTAAAATAATGTTGAAATTTTTTTTACAATGAGATCGGAGCTTATTATTTCATTGCAATGCGCCGGCAAATAATATTGTTGAGCTATACAATAACAACTTAAAAACAGTCACAAACACAGCGCATCGAATATTCTTCGTCTGGAAAATTATTTTTGTCTCTTCTACTATTTTCCAGGCACAGCAAATTTCATAACTTAGCAACTCAGTCCATTCTAAATTGTCTTTGTCCGGCGAAGTACAGTTTGAAGTAGTGCAACATTTACATTGATTGTTTTTGTCCCTCAAATATTATTGCGTAAAACATTCTTGAATTGAGTATGATATAGCAATCCCAAATAAAAGTAACTTCTCCTTTCTTGTAATATCAATTTTGTTCTTTATCTTCCACTAAATTTAATGGTTGATGGAACAAGACGATTTTTGTTGAAACCATTCGACCATGGAATACATATCGGCCACGTGCGTGGTGTGATTTTCATGGCGATCTGATTTCCTTCGAAGTCCATGCTTTCGCAAGCATAAAAATCCCTAAATAACACACAATAACAACTATCCCATATCTCGTTGCTGTGACTCGTACCTTCACATAAAATAATAGCACAGTATCGATTCTGTTCTGTGGCTGCGTCCGACTGACCTGGCTGTGGCTTGCAGTCACACACGCGTGTATGTGAAGTGGATGTAGCCGCATCCACAGACGCAAGACTTTATAGAGTAACCACGGACCACGCCGTAGCTAAACGGACGCGGCCTCACATAAGCACGTTTTTGGGTGATATCGATGCCTTGGGGAGCAGCCACTCAAATCAGGTATTAGTCTAGCGATGTCACCACTCGTGACGTCACCACTCATGACGTCACCACTCCAAGCGCAGGTGGTTTCCTAGTCCGGGAAGTATCATCCTTGTTCGTCCAGTTGTTTAATTTGTGAAAAAAGCTTGTCTTTGTCAAAGTATTCTTTCTCTAGATATTGTTGTACTCAATGCGATTTTAACAAAGTTAGAAACTCATTTTGCCTTATTTGTTTTGAGTTGGGGATTAAGGGAGCACAGGCCTTGAAGGGAAGGGGGCGTGCCCCCATGCCCCCTCAGATATCCAATCATAACACCCAACTTCGCAGCAAGTGGAGAGTATGTGCTTCATACGCCCACGCGTAATATACCATCATCATTCTCGATACAGTGGCACTTGAATTACTTACGTTTGTGATACCTGTGTTATTTGTTCAGTTATGCAAAACAGTATTTGCACAAAATTCCACAGCGCGAATGGAAAAATAGTTGAGAATAATCTCGTAAATCAAACAAGTTTCTCAGACATTCAGGAACCCTGAGTATTTGATTTAGCGATGACGATTGAGTGCGAACGTTTGTTCCGTTGTAGGTACCGATCCGTATTACAGCGAAGAGGATAGCCCATCGTCTGCCGAAGAGGTGTCGAAATCTAACGAAGATATCCGAAGGAATACGCTGTCCGCCCCGCCGACGCCTGAGCGAAAACGAAAGAGGAGCTTGGAGTCTGTTCGGTAACGAAAGACAAAATTAGTTTTTATTAAGCAGAATGTTTTTAAACTTTTTGTTTTTCGGAACATCTGGTTCGAATTTTGAACGCCACAGACTTATTTGCAAGAGGGTGGGCTGAAGCAAGTGCCCATCTACTGTGACAGAGCTTCAACATTCACACATTTGCTTGCTTCTTAGTCCATGCCTACTAAGAACAGCCTTCATTTCCAATAAAATAATGTCTAGGTTTTTTTTGGTAAATTTCAACTTCGTCTGCAATTATACTTAATAACCATTCGTTTTTTAAACTCTGTTAAGGTCGAAGAATAATCAATGGCTCAAACTACACTGCTTTCCTTTACGGTTTGTACATTTCTGGGATTTTTACCTGCCTTTTAATTAACTGACCAATCAGTAATCAAGACAAATGCACTCTTAGAAGTCCCGGGTCGGAATCCCAGTCGGATCTGACCTGACTTTTCCTGGTCAAACCGACACTTCTCCGAGTCACTTTGTCGCGCCATTTTACACGGAAATACTTTCATTTTGACCCAAAGTGTCATTTTACTCGGAAAGTTGCCATTTTGAGCGGAAGAGTGCCAGGTCAAGTCTGACCCCGATTCAGTGTCGAATCTGACCCGCTACTTTTTGAGAGTGTAAACATCTATAAAAAAAAAAAAAATAATAATATAAATAATAAAAAAAATAATAAAAAATCCCTCTCTCTCTTTCTTGTGGGAAGGTATTCCTGCGAGCTTGGTCAGATCCAGCCTGAACTTTACGTGACGGAAGACACCGGCTACAGTAAGCCGGCGACGGTCATCAGCGGCAAGAAAAACAAGAAGGATGAGGAGGTTGCGGAGGAGGTGTACGGCACAATCTCACTGGCCATCAAATACGAGCAGCATAGGCAAAGGTTAGCAGGGCAAAGCGAGGATGAATCAGGGAGCTTTGGGAGATAGCGAGGACAAATAAGGCTTAATATCATTGGCCGTGACGGGCAGGAATTATCTGATTCAAGTCTCCCATTCCAAATGTCTCTTTACCTTTCTGTTTAGAGCTTCATCAATGGAGTTAGTGGATCTTACATCTTTGCACATTACAACTCCGTGGTACTGTTTTTCATATTGCCGATATAAGAAGTATGTTGTCATCAGGTTGTCATGTTAGTCATGCAGATTAACGCGTCATGTACACGGATTTATCAGATGTTTATCTCAATATTTAAATTCTGTAACTTTGCCTTTCATTTTCAGTGATTTGGAAATTGAGTCAGCCACTCTTGTATGCACCTTTGCTGCAGGTGGTTTTCAAATACATGTTGTTCTGAAAGTGTCTGTTTACTTGATGTTGCCAGGGTAATAGTCCATCTGTACAACGTCACCGACCTTCCGGCTAAAGGTCAGCGAGAGGGCGCTGACACGATAGTCCACGGCTGTCTCCTACCGGATGAGAAAGTCGTCCTTAAATCCAAGGTGGTCCGAGACACCTTGAACCCCATCTTCGACGACTCGATGGAGTTCAGCGTGGACCCGGCCAAGGAGTTCTCTCAGCAAGCCGTACGGCTGTCCGTATACGACACGGAAAACTGCAGTAAGCTGTGCGCCATCGCGCATACGGTCATCCCGCTGTCGGATTGTGACATGGATGGCAAACAGAAGGAGCTGAAGAAGAGACTACAGAAGAAGTCTGAGGTAAGTAGCCAGCGTCTCGGGGAGAAAAATACCCGGAGGGGATCACTGAGATAACGTATAGGGGATGAAGTAGATTTGGCTAGGAAAACCTCAGTAAGTCATCAAAGTGCTGTCCAGATGACCGACAAGCTTCTTCAAGACTTGCATTGTCATATCTTTTATTCGTTTTAGTATGCTTTAATAATGCGATTTTTTCCAGATGTCTGAGGAGGTTTGGGCCTGATCTTAAGTATTGCTCCTCAAAAGGTCTTGTCGCCCTGAACTACAGAGGGCGCACTCGACTTCTGACGACTATAAAATAGTTGAAACGCCGATAGCCGTTGCACAAACGGGACAGCTATTCATACTGTATGACTTCAATTAAAAAATGTGTGCTCACATATCCAAAATTTATACTCCAACTAGGTACAATTTAAAATTATTACGGACAGATCCCATTGCGAAATAAATGTGGAAAAGCTGGTCATCCCGAAACTACAAACAACTGGGATTGTAAAATTGTATCATAATTATGCACTCCATATTTATGTACTTGATGACATTACAGGTCATAGAATGACCTCTAGTTGGTTTCGAATACATTAAGGGTGCACCCCAGTATATACATTCCTATAGACACTAGCTAAAGAATCCCCATACTTCAAAATTGCTCAGAACTCTCACAGGTGTTCAGCTGCACAGAAAAATGATGATTAACATGCCATCTTTCTTTTCAATATTTGGTGGGTTGACCATTGACTTTTTAAAGAAATTCTCACCCAAAGAAGACCACCCCTAAAACAATTGATGTTAGCCAAACTGGAAAAGTAGCCATCTTGAAAAAGGATCCCTCCACAACATGGCTCAATAGCGCCACTTTCGGTCCCAATTGCATCAAAAATGCTTAGAATTGGAAGCTCCAAGTCTGGCCCATTGCCATATCTCTTCAATTCCCCAATTCCCATAGTTCTCAGAACTCTCTAATTTAGAATAATTTGAGCGTATAACTTTTATTCCTGAGCTCAGCGGACGGATTTGTGGCCTATTTACTTGAGTGTATCCCGTGTGCGTGTCTTTATCTATTCACAAACATCGATACTACAGGGATGAACATGGAAAGACTGACGCGTTTTAACAAACAAACAAAGATTTGATAATGACTATGGAGCTGATACTTTGTAGTCAATAAAAAAGGCTGAAGTTGTGGCAGTATTAGATTGTAAGGTGAAAAGGTAAAACAAAAATCAAATTGTGATCTCAGTTTAGTGTTTGGGGTCTATTTAGATTGATCAAATACAACATTGTACAATGTTTTGTCTGACATCACCGAGTTGAAGATTATGCAAAAAGGTGCTCCGAGTCATAGAGGTTAATCTCTCGCCCATATCTCTGTTTTATCTTTCATTTAGCTTTCTGGGGACTTGGGCAATCTTTACCTGTCGTTAGCCTATCTGCCGTCACAAGACAGACTATCCTGCTTCATCGTCCGAGCGAAGGGGATCGTTCCAGAAAAAGGGACCAATGTAGAAAATCTAGGTGAGGAATTCATTTGGCTCTGCATGAAATGTAATCTGGGGAAGATGCGGGAAGTCACTCACCTCATCATAGACGTAATCCTAATCGATTTTAATTCAAGGAGACTGAGCTTATGGTGGTGCTGAAGAGTGGAAAAATGACTTCTAGAGTTGCATGTTGTGTAGCCAAGTCTAAATTATTATTTGGAAAAGTAATACCGATATGGACAATAATAATTGGATACTAAACACTCTTTGCCGGACCAGACCGAGTATCGTAGAGGTACAAGAGAATATTGCTTAGTAAAATGACACTGGCATTTTTGCTAGTGACCCGTTTTAACTTTCTACATTTTGTGTTCAGAAAACTTTGTGCGTAGGTGAGCAGCATCTCTCTTGCCCTTTTTCTGTTAAATCCTTTTACAAATACTACAAACTTTATGTAATAAAGTCGGTATTTGTCTTATGAGGCCATCGGATGATTTGATTGTCTTTCCAACATATTATTTTGATAAAAAAAAATCTGACCACAGTCGTCATATACTCAACGTGTCGAGCCACATATGGCGTGAGAATCAATTAATATATTCTTCTGTCGTGCCGATGACACCATTTGGAAGATTGAAACGCGATTTGAATACAAGACTAGCAGATTAAAAAACTGGGATCCGTGTATAATAAACGGGTTATTTTCTAATGAATACTACTCGGTCCTTGGATGTATACTTTGCCCTTTGGCATCGTCTGGAATTGACGTCACTCCAGTCTTGATTCAGGTTTGCGTTTCAGCAATATGTTGTTTCATGACATGCGGATCCTAACATTTCTGCACCCAGTCTTAAACCCAGACTGCCTGTGCATTATATTATTAAGGAAAAATACGAGCGGGCCGTGCTATTTAGGGGTTCAGTCACTGGATAGACCGAAGTGCCATCGTTAAAAATCCATACCTTCGAGGTTTCGTGTCTTTTTTTCAGAACAGATTTCAGGCATAATTCGTAAATTGCATGAGCCTGATAGAGATTCGAGAAACATAATGAACTGATGTTTGTCTTTGAGTCAAGACGACTGAAGTTGAAGACTAGGCCTTCGGCACTTTCCCGCCTTTTTTGGGTCATTTGGTAAATGTCAAATATGTTTAGTGCTGGGTTGACCCAGGAACCTATTGATCAGCTGTTGAGTGGGTGAGAGTTTGTTGAACCATTCGACGCCTGATACAAATGTGGGTGTTGACTGTGAATGTCAATGAAAACAAGGGTAGTTTTGGTAGACTTTTATTACTCAGCTGTGTAGATCCGACAACATGCGGGCAGTAGCTACTAGAGTTTTGAAGAAAAAACAGCGCGCACATCTGACAGGTTTAAAGATGTAGACTGTAGACCTTCTTAGTGTTTCTCAATGACTGATTTTTCTTCTTTTCAGAAACTTACGTCAAAGTGTGCCTGATGTGCGGCAGCGACAAGGTCAAGAGCCGCCGGACACCACCTGCGCGGGGCACCGTCGATCCGGTCTTCACTGAGTCCCTGAGCTACGTCCTACCCATGTCCTTCATGGAGGATTCCTTCCTGCTCATCCAGGTCATGCAAAAGGGCCACAACTTCAAGAAAGATTCGGTCATCGGACAATTGATCCTCGGTCCCTACACCTACACGCAGGGTCGCAGCCTGAGTCATTGGGGGAAGATGCTGAGCACGAGGGAGGCGTCCAAACAGTGGCATGCGCTGTATCTGTAAGGTACCGACCTTTGACCAGCGACGAGCTTCGTCTGGTACCAAGAAGGGAGTACTATTCCAAAACGCTGATTTCCGACGACAGGCAATCGTTGCCAGCCTATTGCGTGTCTATCACCGTCTAAATTTGAGCACTTATAGCCCGTGGGTACAAGAGCACAAGATTCTTACAAGAGAGTTTAAGCTCTCAAAACCAACCTCAAAAAAAAAAAAAAAACTAAGCTTGAGTTGTTCATCCCAAAACAAAACCAAAGATGGCTTCCGACAAATAAAATATCCAAAGCTTGAAAGTTCGACGTCTAAATAAATAAATTTTCATAACCTGAAATTCTAGGAAATTTTCACGGGGACAAAATTCCCAATTTCGACAGGAAAATAGGAGCAGAGGTCTTCTTTGCGTAATTCGCCCTTCTATATTGGTACCGTCTAATAAACAGAGCGATCTCAGACTCTCATGACATCATTCTCATTGTGTTGGGGTTTTGAAGCTTCAGGCAGCATTTTTTTTTATTTATGAAAGACTAAACATAGGATCCTTGAGTGAATATACACTATGTTTCTTGCTGAGTGTGAAAGTGAGAGCGGAGATGCAGCACAAATCTGAACAACATTGCAAAACGTGTTACAGCAAACACATGAAAAACGAATAGAGGAAAAGACGCAATATGCGCGATTATTAGAAAAGTTGTCGTCATTTTTCTAGGTGAGACACGATGGGCATAGTGCCTTGAGATGTTTTAGGATGATAACCGCCTCCTTACAAACAACATTGATGAGAGCGATAAAGACCCCGAGGTAGCTGGAGAGATGGCGTGTCAGTAATTGTGTCAGACGCTGAGGAAACAGGTCAAGAGAGCAATGACGCATTGTGAAGGTAGAAGAATCGTGTGCGCCGTTATTCGGTTGTTGAGAGCAGGTGTTTTTGCGAGGTAAGGACGGACAAGATAGCTAAAGGAAGATGGAGAAAGAAGCGGTGAAGGAGCAGCGAGTGATATTTGGTGCTGTTTGCTGCTGAGAGTCAGAATGGCGTGCAGCCACGGAAAGATGAAGAGGTTTGGAAATGTAATGGATGTACAGTGGTCAAAGAGATGGGAATGTGCGGGTTGTGGATACTGATGAGAGTGAAAGTGAAGGGTACACTGTAGAAATACCTGTTAGTTAGATTTGACTAGAAATCGGTCCACCTTGCACCCAGCTGACTACAGATAGGATCAGCTGGGTGCACGTTTGACTGTTTCTAGTCAAAGTTAACTAGAGTGTTTTCAGAGTGTAATGTGATAGTGAAATTGTGATGAGTGTAGACAGCAAGTACGCATATGATAACCAGAGGCCAAACATGTCCGCTATTAAGTAATATCACTCACTTGGTATATGGATAAACCACGAGAAGTTCCTCAGCTGGGACAGGTTTTTTTTAGGAGTGTTAAGTTCACAATCGATTTTGTTATCACAAATACTTTCATACATCCCCAAATGGATATGATCTGTCTTACACGCACTAATGGGCCTAGAAGTCTTTATTCTAGAACGATAGAGGGCGCTGTATAACGACGCCATTCGGAGGTCAAAACAGACGCGTATCCTTGTTCATTGACGAAAGTTTACTTGTTGCGTAAATTCAAAAATTACATTTTTAGATTTAAGTTAAGGCACTAAATTGCTTTGATAAAGGGGATTTTCTAGTGTTTGTATCAAAAAATGACGTCATGAAAGTGCGCCCTCAGTGACTCAAAATATGGTGATGGAACATGAATAGTGTTTAGCACACATGATATTATTTTATGAAAATGCTGAAGCAACATGCATTGTAAGAAAATAGTATTTGGCAGTACAGTAACTAAATTTAAATGTTTTTGCACCTTGGTGCCGGACACTTTTAAAGCCTGAAAAAATAAACAGCCGTGTGGTCCATTTTGTTTTAGTATTCACGAGTTAGAACAAACTGAAGATGGCGGGAGAATAGTTTTGGTGGATTTTGGTGGCAGGGGTGGGATTGAGGAAATGATGCATGATGTCCTAGCTCTGCTGAGAGTAAACCGTATTTGAAACTTCAGGATTCCAGAGGTACTGGGTCGTCTTCCCGTGAGTGATTTTTTGTTTGTTTTTCATTTTCTCATTTTTAACGATTGGTTTAAAGAATCTGGAGGTAGGAAAACCTTATGACAAAAAGGTATATAAAAGGATGTCACTGTAATTTAATGCTGGAGCATAATTAAGCATGTACCAAGTTTCAAGTTTCTATAAGGAGACCCTGATAACACATACATTCTGGTATGTGGTCCATAAAAACAAGCTAAAGTTAAGAAAAGAGAATAGCGTGAGCGCTTCTATACGTAATGCTTCTATACCGCTCTGCTGTTGGTAAATTTAAATCTGGGTTACGAATTTACATGAGAGACAAAGCCGGACCACGATATGGACATAACATGGACGCAGCAAGCAGAAACTACCTTGTCTGATACCATGACAGGGATGTGATTGCGATTCGCGAGGTTCCACGAACGAACCCAACGAAATGACTGATGAAGGAACCTTCTTGAAATGGCGTTAGAATTGTAATTGTGGCTGAAAAGAAAAAAATAATTTTAAAAACGATATTCTTGGCTAGAATAGCAACTTATAAAAATCTATTCCTGTATCAAAATGTATTGAGAGATTGAATGTTTTTCGTTTTATCTGCAAAGTGTTACCTTTATTTTTTAAGTTCAGTGTATGAATTTGATTTTTCTAAATTTGAATGGAAATATATGAAGAATAAAATTAACTTTGAAGAGCTATAATTTGGATTGGTCATTTTTCAGTTTTAACGGGTTTTACCCATCACCTACGTACTTCCATCAAGCTGGTGTTGCTGACAGTTTTCGGCGCGTGTCAATAGTTCTTGCAGATCTTTGGAATAAAATAATCGAATTTTGAAGTAATAGTATAATATTTGATCAAAATATTCTACGAAGTCTATCAGGAGCACCGAAGCACATAAGTGAGATTCCATTCGCTTTAGAAATGTTGTTTGTAAGATCGATGTGAATTGTGTGTTATATTCAAAATGTTGTCTTCAATGACTGTCTTCTGAACCCTATGTAATTCTTCCAACTCTCCAAGATATTTTGAAGGAATGTTTCATTTGCTGGCGTCGTGAAATTTGGATTCTATGAAATCTATTCTCTTTTACCTTATATGGAGTCTCGTCCTCACACGTGACCTGTCATAGTCTTTATTATGTTCACTTAGGCATTTGCAAAACCACCAACGAGCTCGAGTCTATATTTCACAAAACACCGGCGTAAACTCGAAGAGGTTACACCTTTGAACTCCACTGCAAGAAAATGCTGACTCCTTCCCATTTATTTCTCAGACATCACATGACATTGCCTACTTTGAGGTCGATAGAGGGCGCCGTTCGGACAGTCAAGATACCACAGACGCTTGGGTGCAAAAAAAAACCTCGGAGAACCCGATTCTGCAAACGTTATCCAAGCCGCATAATTTGTCATCCGTTTGCTGCCTATTGCGCCCTCTTTCGTTTAGTTCCGTACCCCTATGACGTGTGACGGCTAAGCGACCAGACTTTCTGCATAGTTTTAATTTAACTCTACCAACCTCTAAATACGTACAATTTAAACAAAACCATACTACCTTTTTTATTGAGACCATTTTTACAGATTTTACCGATTTTCTCACAGGCTTAAGAATTAACAGGCAGTTTCAATTACAACGCCTATTTAATCTGTGGCATTTGGAAGTCGGCGGGCTCGCACCTGTGGCCTGTTTTTTTTTTTAATTTGACGCGCTGGAATGTTTCATTGTTGCGTAAAATATGTTGGCTTTTGATGTTAAGGAGTTCCCATGATAAAGCGTGGCTGCTATGTGAAGCGTCTCAGTTGTATGAAGTGCCTCTGGGCCCGTGCCAAACTACATAGACTCACCAGAATCGATTAAAATATCACCAACAAAACGTAGGCAATTACAGACCTTGTTTAGAAACTATTGGAAGATTGGGAAGAACAACAAGAATATCTAAATCCAAAGTAGATTATTGAACAATAAACACTTTTGTTTATACAAAAAGTCTCCGTACTGAGCTTCAGTACTCAATACGAAAATAATCGAGTTATCGTCGACTAATCGATTCAGCGGAGCGTTGCATTCGGGTTCAGGTAATCGAATAATACGTTATAGCGAGGACGGCGTGTCGCTTCGTGGATGTTCGCTATCGTTTCTTGGATATTTTTCATCAGTTTTGCCTTGCTTTGATGTGGTGTGCCAAGTCTCAAAGGGAACTTTATTGATGACAGTTTACCAGGGTTGCACCGAGAAGCAAGTGCTGTGACGGCTTGCAGTATTCAAGCGAGTAAATTTTGAAAGGTAAGACAAACTTTTTTTCAGCACATGTACATGTATGACACTGTATGAATAATGCATCAAACGTTTCTGTACTCATAAAGCAACGAAGAACTCTACAGGCGCACAAGTCATTATACACTCTCGAATGTAGAGCAATTTTTTTCTTATTGATCCGTGGCTGATGATTTTTTTTTATGAAAGTGAAATAAGATCTGAGAACCATTGCGTTGATAGTCTGGTTTGAAAAGCCAAAGATCCTAACGTTGAATTTTGTCAGGTCAGGGAACCAGACGGCTGACTGCCGTAACGATAGCCACTGCGATGTTAGTGAATCTGTACAGTTTCAGTGCTATTGGCGCGTTTTGAAACGTACATTTTCCAGGGTTGAGCCGCTGTAGCCTCATAAATGTGGCCAATTTACTGGACTACCTCCGTAAATAAAGGCCACACTTCCACAATGTACAAAAACATGTCGAACTCTTGCTTTAGAAGCATACTCACCCTCTTTAAATGCTAATCAGAAAGTGCTGCCCTTTTCAGATGTCTAATTTTTGTAAAACATTTTATGTTGAAATTTTGATACGCAAACGTACGTGTGCAAACGAATCTAGAAATTTCACGAAAAATAGACATCTGAAAAAGGCAGCAAATAAATAAAAGAGAAATAAGATCCGAGAACAATTCCGTTTATAGTCTGGTTCGAAAAGGCAAACAACGATCCTAACGTTGAATGTTGTCAGGTTGGGGAACCAGACGGTCGACTGCTGTAACGATAGCCACTCAGGTGCGGTTCTAGAGCCAACATTTTGGGGGGCTAGCAGGGTGGATCAAAATCCTACAATCAGGCACACTATAAAAACAATAAAAGTATACAAATGCACCCTTCTCACGACTATTTATTTAGGGGGTGGTACGTCTCATTCTTACATTTGGCTAGTTCAATTTTTTTAATAGAATTGTTTTTTTTGGGGGGGGCGGCTAGACAAAATTTGGGGGCCAACCAGCCCCCCCCCTCTCCCCTTAGAACCGTCACTGTAGCCACTGCGATGTTAGTGAACCTGTACCGTTTCAGTGCGATTGGCGTGTTTTGAAACGTACATTGTTCAGGGTTGAGCCGCTGG